CCCATGTATGATTGAGATCAAGAGCTTGGAGTTCAGTTTTCATTGCAGCCTCCCATTCTGGTTGACCTTGAGCCTGATTATAAAATGCAGGCTCGACAGGATGGGTGATAGTGTGAAAAACATGACTTGTAGGAGGAGAAATGGAGGATAGATGTGATGACTCATCAAAACTGAAATTGGTTACAGTATGAGGACATAGGTTGGAATTTACATGATTACATACAAAATCATTTAAGTATGTTGGAGGATGTGAGGGTCTAGTGGTTCTCCTGAGAGGAGGATCAGATTGATTATTGGATGAAGGAGAGGTGACAGGCTCAGATTCTGTGGAATTGATAGGAAGAAATGATGGTGAATTGGAGGAATCCTGCTGGCTAAAGGACTTCAAAGGGTAAATGTTCTCAAAGAACTTAACATCCCTTGATATAAGAATTTCTTTGGTCTGAATATCTAGGCACTTATATCCCTTTTTGCCTATTGGATATCCTATGAAAACACAAGAAGTTGATCTTGGCATAAATTTATCTATGCCTACAGAAGAGGTAGAGACATGACATAGGCACCCAAAACTTCTGAGATATTCAAGATGTGGTTTATGATTGAACAGAATTTCAAATGGTGTTTTGTGATTGATGATTTTTGATGGCATTCTGTTCATAAGATGAATGGCTGTCATGATACACTCACCCCAGTATGCAATACCCAACCCAGATTGAAAGAACAGTGCACGAGATATCTCCAGAATTTGTCTGTGTTTCCTCTCTACTAATCCATTTTGTTGAGGTAAATGAGCAATAGAAGTTTGATGTATGATGCCTTGATTTTTAAAAAACTCCAGGCCCTCATTACTTGATCCCAGTTCATAGGCATTATCACTTCTAATGCATTTGATAGTTTTGGAGAATTGAGTTTGGATGAGAGCAATAAAAGCCTTAATCAGAATAAAAGCATAGCTTTTGTGTTTTAACAAATGAACCCATGTGTATCTGGTGTGATCATCCACAATGGTTAAGAAATATTTGTGGCCATCACATGTAGAATGCTTGTAGGGACCCCAAATATCTATGTGAATTAGATCAAATGGATTAGAAGTTACAGAGATACTTTTAGGAAAAGGTAACTTATGTTGTTTGGCCTTGGAACAAATATCACACATATCAATCGAATCAACAGGAGTAGAAGAAGGAATTAATGAAAGGGAATGTAACTTCTTGATTGGAATATGGCCAAAACGTTTGTGCCAAAGTACAGAATTGAAACAAGAATGTTTGACAACATTATTGAAAACAGGAAACAACTTGGAAACAGAATTACAAAAAGAAAAAGTCTTTTGTGGTCAAACACATAAAGATCATTGACTCTATCTCCCAAAACGCCAAGAGATATGCTACCCTTAGAAGAAGGGTCCTGCACAAAACATTTTGTATCAGTAAAGATAACAAAAGTTTGAAACTGTGAAGTGAACTTGGTAATTGACATTAAATTGTATTTGAAGGAGGGAAAATAAAAGACTCCATGAAGAATGAGATTACTGTGGATTTGAATGTCACCAATATAAGTAACAGAAGCGGTATGACCATCAGGAAGACCAATTGAAATAGGTTGAGAAAGTTTATTCATGAAAAGAAATAAGGAACTGTTGGAACACATGTGATCTGTTGCTCCACTGTCTATGATCCAAGAGTAGTGAGGTTGTAAAAACTCTTTGGATTTATAGACATTTGAAGCAAACGTGGCGAAAGAAAAAGGTTTACCTTCATCTGCCATTGCACCATCAGTGATTGAAACATTGACTTGATTTGGAATAGTTGATGGACTTATGTTATTTGCATTGAGAAGCTGGAGAAGATGATCATATTGATCAGTGGTGATGGTAAGTGCAGAGACGGTTTCAACATGTTGAGCAGAAGGTTTAGTGTCATTGCGATTATTTTTGGTGAATTTGAAATTTGGGGGAAAACCGTTCAACCGATAGCACTGAGATTTTGTATGTCCCGTCTTTTTGCAGTGTGTGCAGGTCAATAGCTTCTTTGATGAGTCACCAAAAGCAAGCATTGCAATGGCATCGGATTGTAAGGGAGAAGAAGCAGTTATGCCTCTTTGACGTTCTTCTTGAATGATCATGGAATAAGTAGTAGATATTGAAGGCAGCGGTTTCATCATCAATATCTGACCACAAATGACTTTATATGAATCATTGAGACCCATTAACAACTGAATTAAACGTTGTTCTTCGAGGAATTTGTTGATTGCAGTGGCAGAGGCACAAGAACATGCGGGCACACCTTGAACGATTCTTAACTCATCCCATATCTTACTTAATTTAGTGTAATAAGATGAGAAATCCTCTGTACCTTGAGACAACGAATAGAGTTGTTGTTGAATCTGGTAGAGTAAAGCTCCATCTGATTGTTCATAACGGCTTTTCAACTCTGTCCAAATTTCTTTTGCGGTTTGTAGGAAAAGAACACTGTCTGCGATGTTTTTGTGAAGGGAATTCAGCAACCAACCGATAACCATTGAATTTGCTCGAAACCAAAAAGTGTATTCTGGATCGATTTCAGAAGGTGCTACAATGGTTCCATCAACAAAACCAATTTTGTTTTTGGCGGTGAGAGAAATTGTCATGGACCGTTTCCATGAATTGAAACCCACTCCATTAAAAACAGATGAAACGAGAATGGAATTTGGGTTGTCAGATGAAGAAATAAAATATGGACTTGAAGGATTTGGAGAAGTTTCAGAGGATGATGAAGCTTCGGTCTCTAGGGTTGTACGAGGCATGATTACCGATGATTGAGAAATCAATCAACAACGATTGATGAATAATAACAAGGTTTGGATCAACAAACCCGCTCTGATACCATGTTAGATTTGAATGAAAGAAGAAAGAAGAACTTGAGAGAAAGTTATTCTCATTCAATAAACTGATCGATCGATCAGAAAAACATACAAAGGGGATATAACCCGAATTCAAAATAAAACTACCAAAATAACATAAACTACCCCTATACTATCAAGACATTTACAATTTATATTTAATATGAAAATATTAATCTAACAAAAACTTATATATATCAACTAAAGCAATATACCTAACTTTCCCTTGCACATCTTCTTATTTAATAAACGAAACCTTTTGTCCACATGTCACTTCCACCAAGCATTTTACATCAAAGTGAATTTCCAGTTATACCCCTCCTTCATTCAATATTCAATTCAATTCGACTTTTTTTTTATCTAAATTCGGCTTTTTACATATATAGTCCATGATTTAACATCTTAATTGACTTAAATGGTCCCTGTTTCATAGTTTTTCTAAAAAAATTAGTTAAAAGTTTACAATTAATTTAATTTTTTCACAACATACTGTTATAACACTAATGGTTTTCCAATTAATTTACTCAAGTACTATACCTTATGTTAATATTTTCTTTATGCAACATATTCTATTAAATTATATTTTTTAATTGATACTTAAGAAAATGAAAGTGTTGAACTCAAATTAAAAAGTAAATAAACAATGTATAAACGTCTTAATTATTTATTTGTTTTAAATTTAATATACATTTATATATACATTATTATTTACAAACTAACTTTCTACTATCATGTTTTTAATAAACTACTTCAATAAAATTTTATAAATCTTTGATTTTCTATTATCATTTTTAATCATCAATATTATTTTTCTTTTTTACCCGTGGTTTCCACGGGTTGTAACATAGTATCTTATATTTGGAAAATATGTGAACTTCCCATTATAGCGAAGTTCAATCGTGCACAAAGTGGGACGATCAACTTTCCTAGAAAAAAAGAATGTAGTTAGCATATTAGGCCAGAGGGAGTGGCCGCGGTTTCAAACCTCGGTTTTGCCACATGGACCTGGAACACCGCCCCTTGGGTGCGGTCTACTGCAGTTTAGGCTACAATGTGGCTAGAAACTGCCGCAAAATCTGATTGGTTGGTGCTCTTTGACCGTTCAACGGTCCTTGCGTTTGAAATTAATATATATATATATATATATATATATATATATATAATATATATATATATATATATATATACTTACCATTTTTTACAAAATCCTCACTCAAACTCCTTACCATTTTACCATCTTTTCTTCAATTTTTTTCAAAATGTCTTTTTCCAAAAGGCCTACCAACGAAAAAACACCCACTAGAAACACCACAACCCTAATACTTTCATTTGATCAACCGATTTTTTCGCCTCCGTATTACCACTATGGCGGTATGCTTCAGTATTTTCCACAACGACCAACACAACCACTACCACAAACACTAACACAGCCTGAATTAGATTTTAATCCATTTGCTTTTTTTTTTGTCTCAACCTGAGTTTGTTCAACAAACATAATTAAGCACAACCACATACGGTCGTTTTTGATTCCAAACCGGAAATCGTTGCAGAAACTTAACCCATTCGAGCAGCAACTAAAAGAAAAGAGAAGGCGCATGCTAAAGGTTAGGAACCCCTAGAAGTGTTAGTCTTGGCACAATCATGGATCGATATTTCAGAAGATGCGACGACTGGAAAAGACCAAAAACATGATCGTTTTTGGATTCGGGTTTTACATAGGTTCCATAAAGGAATGAACCGTGGAGAGTACCGTTCAAAACATCAAGTGTACTCGAAATGGGGGATATGAACAAAGAAATCATGTTGTTTAATGATTTGTATATCAACATAAAACGTCAATGGAAAATAGGAGAAAGCGATGATGTGATTTTGCAGAAAGCGCTAAAAGTGTATCAAAAAGAAAACGTGAAGGCTTTCAAGTTTGTTGAAGTTTGGAATTTTGTGAAAGACAACAAGAAATGGCAAAACAACAAAACATTAGACGAGCATATTGACAGTGGTTCAAAACGCAGCATAACATTTGAGTCCGACCACACTACATCCACACTACATCAGATGCTCGTGTTCAATTCGATCTGAACGAAGATGAACCTGTTCCAGTTTCACCACCTTCCCGACCAATGGGAAGAGACAAAGCAAAAGTCAAAGGCAAAGGCAAAGCGTCGGATTCAAATGAGTTGACAGAAATGGGGGTTGACATGAAGGGTATAAAAGATAGAATAGACAAGATTTTGCAAATTGCTTCTGAAAGAGAGCTTTGGAAACAAAAGGAGAGCGACATGAGAGTACTAGCGGTGGACACGTCGAATATGACCGGGGACGAGCTTCAAGTTATTTTGGCGATGAAGGAGGAAGTGAAAAAACATTACTCAAATCGTGGCTAATTTCTATTTTTTTTCAAGTTTTTAATCGTTTGGTGTGAGTTTTTTTTTCAAGTCGTAGGTTTTATGTTTCTAATTTGCTTTTCTAAAGTTTTAGTTTTTTTTTAAAGTTATGCAATGTATGTCATTTTTATTTTTAATTAATGAAACATTATCTTTTTAAAAAAATAAATATTTTATCCGTTAAAAAATAATAAAATAAACTCAAGTATAGCACCACTCCTTGTGTGTACTATTGTGGTAAAAACACATGTGACGTCTAGGTGGCTGTGTGGCAAAATGAGGGACACACTCCAACCTTATATGAAATTTCAAAATATTTAAGTTAAAACTATAGTAAGACTCATCATACAAAGCCAGTGCATCAAATCTCATCGTGGTAGGTCATATCGTCCACAATGAAAACATCATTTTTTTTCTTCAAGATATCTTACTGCACAGCTCAATAAAGGATTTGGGTGTAAATCATTGATTTAGGGTTAGTAGCTTAATGGATATTAAACGAGGAAGAAGATTAAAAGTGTCTGGTCGTTTAGACATCGTTATACGCACGATAATAAATGCGCATTGCCTCCATAAATGAAAAGATGAAAATGCTCTCGTGTGCAAGACACATGGGAAAGAAAACGACATACCACTAACGACAATTAGAGGCGGCTCAAACACCAAATTAAAACTTTTTTTGCTAAGCAATTTTTATTTTGGACCTTACCAAAAAAAAAAAAAAAAAACAGCAGACCACAGAAACCATTTCTATGGTTTTGTCAAAAAATTTCTTTTTGGAACTGACTTTTTCAAGTTCTTTTAGCTTAGTTAAATTACCTAAATACCCCAAAACTACCCTAGCGTCGCTGGCTTCGTTCACACAGCCTCCCTCACAACGTTTGCAGCTTCTCACACCGGCGACCCTTCTCCAATCTCCGCTCCAGACATCCGATCGCCGGCGCCGGCGCCGGCTACTGACTTCTCCTTCTACGGTCTCTCAGTAAGTCCGACTTTCCTTTTCTGTTTAGCTACACCTCTTGGATGATAAACACATGATTTCTTATTCGATTTTGAATCTAAAGCTCAATTCCTGTCTGATTTCTGGTTAATCCGATTCCCAATTTCTGGTTTGATGTTAATCTCATTTTCTTTTTCTGGTTCGGTACTCCCCTGCACTGGATCGATAAAGCAGATATTTTTTTTTAATCGATGAAGCACATGAACTTATTGTTCCAATTAAGCACATGATTTCATTTAGAATTGATGAAGCCGATGTAATTTTAAGCCAGTTTGGTGATCTGGTTTGGCGTTATAAAATCTAGAGTTGGTTTTATCTGATTCTTGAAACAGGGCATTGTACTACAGCTTTTTCTGAATTACATCTGGTTGATATCGATTGTTGTTAATCTGGTTTGATGTTAAAATATCGAGTCAGCTTACTTTTTTTTTTCTGATGACTGATGCTCGTTGTTAAGCACTTGAGATGACTGATGCATATTTCTTTATGAATTGAAGTAGATCCAAATATAGATGTTTGGTATTTATGTTGTATACATTTTCTGTGTGTGATTTATGTTGTTTGCATCTTAGTAGAATGTAATTCTCAGATACTTGGATCGTGTGTTCATCATCATCTCCAAGCCAAAGTATGATATTTTATGAACTTTCTTCTTTTCCCCACTTAAATGTCACTTCATTGATTTTTCTAGTGCTATTTGTTCACCAATATTTTGGATTTCAATGGGTGTATTTTCGTATGTGGATTTAGGGGGTGTGTCAAATTCAATGGTGGAGATCATCTCAATTGTTGTTATTATTACCACACTGCTACTTGTCCGAATTCTTTATGTTATATCTCACAGTAGTAAACCCATCTGTAACACTTCTTCAAAACATTTGAGTACTCTTATTGTTTTGGGTTCAGGTATGTATGTTAATGCTTCCTTTCTTATTCCTACATAAAAAAGAAAACATTCAAGCTCAAAACTGATACTATTTCTTGGTTTTGAGTTTTGATATAGGGGGACACACAGCAGAAATGATAAATTTGTTATCTGTTATGCAAAATGATCGATTTGCTCCAAGATTTTACATTGCTGCAGTAACCGATAACATGAGTCTTCAAAAAGCGCGTGTTTTTGAGAACACTTTGGCTGATAAGGTATATCAGAGATATATAATATTTCTTATGGGTGGGACAGAAAATTACAATTTTTGTCTCATTGACATGCAGTATAACTTGTTTTGTTTCCTTCAGTAGTTTTGTACTGTTATGTCATGTCATGTCATATGCAGATAAGTTTGCAGGTGTCAGATTCGACCAAATTTATGCAAATCTATCGAAGCCGTGAAGTGGGACAGTCATATATTACCTCAATCGGGACAACATTATTTGCTTTATGCCATGCTTTGTGGCTCATGCTCAAAATCAGACCTCAAGTGGTACTACTATTTTAATTTTTTTTTTTTTTTTTTTTTATTAAAACGAAGTTTTACATATATTACCTAAACCCTTATTTTTCATCCTTTTCTTGTTTTTATAACGTTTTGATGCCATACTTTTGTTTTGTATTAATTATTATAAAGTACATTGCTATTTCTAGTATTTAACCTTTCCATTTTCTCTACACAGATTCTATGCAACGGTCCCGGTACTTGTATTCCCTTATGTGCCATCGCATTTATTTTCAAGGTTTGTATGCTTCAACTTTTTAAAATAATACCATGAAAATTTGGGTCTTCAATTTCTACTTCTAATAGATAGTTGACAAATAGTCAAACAATTTCCTTACATGCCAAAAGTCAAACATTTGACTTTTCATGTGTTGACTGTTTCAGGTTTTGGGAATTAGATGGTCGTATATTTTCTATGTGGAAAGTATTGCAAGAGTGAAAAGACTATCGCTTAGTGGTTTGCTTCTTTACAAATTACACATGGCTGATCAGTTGTTTGTGCAATGGCCACAATTACAAAAACAATATCCTCGAGCTCATTATGTGGGGCGTCTTATGTAACCCAATTTGTTTTCTATAAGTGACTTAATTCAAAAAGACATTTAAGTGTATACAGTGTTTAAAATAGAGGTATCTATCACTATGGACATGTCTTATTATGATTTTTTGTTTATACGTAAACTTTGTACTTTATTTTTAGGCTAATACCAATACATCGAATACCATGTTTGTTAATTGTTTACGTGTATATGCAAGTTGGGCTAAAGGAATGTCTAGGTGGAACGTTTGGAGATGAGTTATTGTTTACACCAGAAAATGAAATCATATTGATGCAAAATTGGTCTAATAATTTGGAATATAAAATAGAAAATAGATATTAAACAAATAAACAATCATTTTGTGAAAATTAATTTATATTCTTATTGCAACTCTTCTTGAGAGTTGGGTTCTGTTTACTTTGACAAAAAACGACCAATCAGGTGACTTGAAAAAAGCAGAACGAAATCGAACCAAAATCTACAAAATAAAAATTATAAAAAAAAACAGCCGTTAAAAAAAGGACACCAATAATTTGGATTTTCCTTTTAAAAAGCCAAACTTTGAAGGGTGATTTAACAAAGAAAACCTGAACTTGTTACAAACCTAAATTTCTTATTGATAAATAAAATCATCGCATATCTTTTTAGAGCTTTTAAAAACTTTTAATTTTTTATTTTTTAAGTTAAAATTCAAATTAAAGTTAAAATTTTGTTTAGCAATAGTACAAATGACGTAAAAGCTCTTAAATTTTCAAAAAAATATCGTTTTTACATTTGGCATGTTTTGGGGTTAATAAAGGCTGAACTTTGTTTTGATGGGTTCATATATATCGCATTTTGCAGGTTATACCCATTGTTGCCGATAAACTTCACCTTATTTGGTAAGACTTGATGTAACGTACGTGTTTTCCACTAGACATTAATAAAGATGCTGAAGTGGTTAGGGTTAATAATTGTAATCTTTTGAGGTTAATAAAATAGGGTTATTTGATTATGACGTGGTATTTGTGTGTGTGTGTATATATATATATATATATATATATATATATATATAGAGAGAGAGAGAGAGAGAGAGTCAAGATCAAATAAGAAGAAAATTTTTGGTAGGAAGGTAAGAAGTTTTATTTCTACATATTTTTTTCGCGAAAAAACAAAATGAATCATTAGATGATTCATTTTGTAAGATGATTCACAAGAAAAAATTCTCAAAAAAACATCTCGATGATTCATTTATACAATGATTTTGTTGTTATTCATTAAAATTGTCATAAAAATGAATTTTTTCTTAATTTACTTAAAAATGAATCATAAAGATGTTTTTTTGGGAATTTTTTCTTGTGAATCATCTTACAAATGAATCATCTAGTGATTCCTTTATTTTGTTCGTCAAAAAAATATGTAGAAAAAAAACTTCTTACCTTCCTACCAAAAAAAATTTTCTTACCGGATCTATATATATATATATATATATATATATATATATATATATATATATATATATATACATTGTATGTTTGTAGCTACGTAATAAATTAGGGATAGAATTCGCATCTAAATAGATTAAAGATTAGGACGAATAGCTTATGAGTGAGACAAAGTAGTCGTAATAAGGATTCTGGTGGTATAAGGAGCGCTCAAAACGGACTTATAAAGGATGAGTTATGACCCGTTGAAGTTTCACGTTCAAACCGGCGCGACTACAATATCGTAAATAGCAAATCAGAGTTAGGACGATTATTAGCCTTAGTAATCTAAACGAAAGTCGTAGTAGTCGTTAAACCGAGAGCGTATATATAGAGAACGCCCCAATCTGACTTCGTAAGAGGAAGTTAAGATTTTTAGAAGTTTCGGCGTAGCAGTATACGACTCAGAAACCGCAGTAGAAATCGGTTGGTCGTTAGGAAAAGCAATCTAAACGAGGGTTGAAGATTTCGTCAATATGGTTCCGTCGATATAAAGACAGTCGAGAACGGATATCATATGAGGAAATTATGATTTTTTAACGGACTTTAACAGTCTAAGCCTGTAAAAATAAAGTCAAAATTAGCCGACGAATTCTAAAGGAAAGTTGCAAATCTCGTCGAGAGCTTTCCGGGGATATAAAGAACGTCGAAAATGGAGCTCGTATAAAGAAGATACGATTTTCTTAACTTTTCCGAGAAGCGCCACGCGTATGTGGGTTGCACGACGCGCACCTTCTAAAAGGTGGGGCGTGTACCACCATATTTTTGACACGTGGCAGAAAATGGGAGGAGCAACGTCTCAGGTGTGCGCAGTGCACACACACTAGGCGTGGCGCGCAGTTGTGCTATAAATAGACTTCGACTGCTCATTTGCTTCCTCACTCCCCATCCTCCCCTCCCCCCTTTCTCTCTTTCTCTCTTTCTCTCTCTCTCTCTCTCCCTCTCAAAATTATCTCGATTTTAGCCCATTTCCCTTAGTTCTAGCCTTCGGCGAAGCCCTGCGATCACTGAGGAAGTAGTAGCTAGCGAGTAGAAGCTTTTCCGGTTCAATTTCCTAACTTCTGTCAGGAAGAACCTCTGTAAGTTAAGCTACACTCTAGTCTTTTCTGTGTAACTTATATTTATAGTCATAAGTTGTCATTATGAACCTATAATGGTCATGTTGGCTTGGTTGTTGGATTTCAGAAAAGCTATTATGCCGAAACGATCATGCCTCCCAACTGTCATGCCTGGCTGATCCTTACTTGATAGATCTTGATGTAGGCATTGTGATTAGTGAGGATCTAGACTATTCTTAGTCTCTAGGTTTGTTAGACTAAAACTCTGTAGTAATTATACTTAGTTCACGTCAAGGAATATCTGAGGTGTTAGACGAAGCTCTACTCAGATCACCAGTCACCAATTTTATCATGTGAGTACATAGTTACTTTTTTTGGGTTTTTAGATCAAAAATAGTTTCATAAACTAGAAAAATATGGCAACTGAAGACTTTAATTTTTGAAATAACATAAACATTTTATACCCATCAATGATCTTCTTGCAAGTTATAGAAAGATTGAAATACCAACCGTAGAAAGGATGAAGAAATAACAACCTTTGTAGTTCTTTGGGTCCTCTTGGGAGGCTTGGAAGTTGATGAAGAATGTGGAACCTTTGAGACACCAACAATGACTCAACTTGATGTAGATGCTAGTCCAAAACTCTTAAAACCTTAAGCTTTAACTTCATAACCAATATGAACTTAAAGAGGGCATATAAAAGCAAGTAATCTCCAAGTCTTCAAAGCAAAACTAGAGAGAATAACAGAGGAAGAAGGACTTTCGACCTCTAGCTTCAAAGGAAGAGAATAAGCAACTATCCAAGTGAAAACCCTCTTATTTATATGCATAAAGTGAAGTTATTAACCATTAGTTCCTTCAACTTTAGACAAACTTGTCTCCATGTCAAAATAGTGTCCATGCATGATTCTAAAGCATGATTTCTTTTGAATAAACAAATTGAAAGCCCATACTCTTTATCTTTAATCAATTTTTCGGAAATTGCACATAAAAAGAAGAGTTTGTTTATATGTTATAAACTCAAAGTTTATAAGATATAAACTGTCTTTTCCTAAAAGACAAAAAGCTTAACTAGTCCAAAATGTTGTACATGACTTAATAAATCATACCATATGATATATTATGTTACTTGCTAATGAAAATTATTATTTCAATGAAATAAATAATTTCCAATTTAATTATAAGAGTTTTATTGAATATTTATTAAAATCAATTTCTGATAAACAATCAATTGTATCAAGTTGTTGTTAGTGTGGCCCATTAGTATCATATGTTATTTAGCAATATCACTTTAATATGACTTTTGAGCATACTAGACCTTTCAACTTTCATCTTACACATAGATATAAAGTATTTAAGATAATTACATGCTATATGTGCCTATTATCTGTGTTCCTGATATCTATGCTAGATGAACGATTTATACATGTTTTACTCGATTTTAAACTGCATATGTATTTTATTACCTATAAATATGTTGGGTAAAGATGGGTAGATATAAAATGACATAGATGATGAGAGATGAAAGGTGATATAGACGATGAAAGATGAAAGATGATATATATGATTAGAGGCTTTGACTTTAAAGATGATCTAGTTGTCTAGCGGAGTATATAGATAACGACCACAGACTATTCTAGAAAGTCCAATGGAACGCTAGCAGGCTCGCAACCTATAGGTGTTTTTGAACTTAGTGTACACCAGGTGTACTCCATCCCCCCTTATGATTTCCTTACTGACATATATTTCTATGGACTCCCCTAAGCATTATTGTCTATCCCAAAGATGATCCTTAGGATAGGTCCCTTGAAATTAGATGTTAGGGACAGAGAGTGAGGATATCGGGAAGGGGTAATCGGTTTGATGATTTGATAATAATAAATAAACATTTAATTATTGTGGGTTGAAAACCCTATGTGCTCATCAGGCCCCCAAGTCTGACCCACTCAGTTTCTTATATTACAGGTAGTGGCACAAGAGCACAGGTGTGATGATATGATGAGATATTTATGGATGCATGTAGGCCAGTAGTTTAGATAAACTAGTGTAAGGCCTGTATTATTTCGTTCATGCTTATGTATTGTATCAACAATGACATCCCCAAGTTTTTAATATAAATAAAATACGTTTCTTCGGAAATGTTTTGATAATATCATTATCATGTTTTTGGGAACAAATTCTGCAATATTATTCTTATATGATACTCTGATTTCAAAATAAGCATAAATAAATCAGTCTTTTCTGGCCGTGAAATTGGGGATGTCACATTCGACAAGCTGATCCCACGTAAACTCCTACATGGTAGTCATCGTAAACCTAACTCATTTATAACAATTTCAATCGGAATCGACATTTTTCTCCTACGCAAAATGCCAACATCCTCTGCAAAATCAAGCTCGAATGGGATTTCACAATGCAAGAAGAAGTACGAATCGAAATGCGGATATGGTGATGTATGTCATGTCTATATTTCACACACACCATGAAAGAAATTTTGGGGGTTCCCTACTTATTTCATCATCCTAAGTTGTTGTTATTATTATTATTATTATTATTATTATTATTATTATTATTATTATTATTATTGTTATTATTATTTTAATGCAACTGGGGTTGCAATAAGCTTATATTATGTACGTAGAAGGAGGCTGTGGGTTTTCAACTAGGTTGACGATCAACAAGATATGAAAGAGTCAAATGGGTTTACAGAGCAGAGACAGATGATGACATTGATACACATGGTTGTTGTTTTGTTTGTAGTTATATTGTTGATGCTTGTTTTAGTAGTGTACAAGATTTAGTGGCACCTAGTTTTTTTGGTAGTTGTTGTTATGACAATGGTTGTTTAGTAGTGTTTAAATGGTTGTAGGTATGTTTTCGTACTTGAAATCCCCATTTGGATAATATTTGTAATGTTTGGATGGTTTGAAAAGTACATTGTATAAAATGGTTATATATGGTGTTTGAATGATATTTGGAATGTTTGGTTGGTTTTATAAGTACTAAATGGTGTTTGAATGGTTTTTGTAATGTTTGGTTGGCTTTATAAGTACATTACATAAAATGGTATGTATAAGTACTAAATGGTGTTTGAATGGCATTTATAGTTGTACTAAATGGTGTAATGTTTAGTTGGTTTTATTAGTACATTTACTTGACTATGAATTATCAACCAAAACCTACAATCATTTATACAGTTAGTAAAAATCATTGTTATGATTAAGATAAATGTTAGAATACATAAAATTAGTAATATACCTTATATTCTTTCCAAATAGATTTATTTTCCTCAACGTTGTTGGACAAACATTAGAATTCCATATTTGACTTTCCTCATTCATGTGAGCAAACATGTCCATGATATAAAACATTATCTCTTCAAGCATGGTGATCAGAGGTTTTTTCCTAACGTCCAAGATGATTGAGTTGAAACACTCTAAGATCCCATTCTCAACTGCTTTACAAGCATAACCTGATCCAAAAAAGGTTTTACACCATGTTTTTAATTGTTTTGACATTAAATACTCATATGCAAAAGCGCTTAAACTCTTAATGATTTCCATATGCCTCTTGAAGTCACCTTCCACACAACTTATAGATGCATCCAAAAACAACTTCTTGTACTCCAACCCTGTGAAATCCTTAACCTGATCCAAAAAAGGTTTTACACCATGTTTTTAGTTGTTTTGACATTAAATACTCATATGCAAAAGGGCTTAAACTCTTAATGATTTCCATATGCCTCTTGAAGTCACCTTCCACACAACTTATAGATGCATCCAAAAAGTATGCCTCTTGAAGTCACCTTCCACACAACTTATAGATGCATCCATAAACAACTTCTTATACTCCAATCGGCATAAACGTGACTAGCACATTGCATGTGCTCAACATGAGACAATATAGATCTTACAAATTTAAGTAGACCCTACAAGATAATGATTTAATGTGTATTTTTATGTATGAAAATGTATTTTATTAACCTATATGCATAAAAAATATATTTTTATTAATTTTTATATATCCAAAATGTATTTTCAGTTTTATTTTATTTAATTAATTATAAGTTTTAAATATTTTAATATTTTTTAAAAAGAAAATTGTATAGTTGTGATGGTTTAGAAAAATGAGTTCTTTGTAAAGTAAGTTGAAAAACATGGAAAAAAGAGAAAAAACTATATAACATATGTATGACAAAAACGTTGAGAGGGAATGAATAATTCCAAACTAATGCACATTATTATGTAAATACGCAAATTAAGATTAGTTTTTAATCTAAAACAAGTATGTTACTTGTTTAACTAACGGAAAACCGTAAGAAAATCACTATATTACCACAAAATTTGATTTTGACATCAGTGTTTTTTTCCTCAATTATGTCACTATATTTACAATTTTATTGCAATATCAACCAAATAACCAGTTCTCTTGGTAACAACTTTTCTCGAATTGCAATAAAGTCACTAAGTTTACCAAATTTTTTATTTTGACACTGTGTTTTGTTTTTTCTAAATTATATATCGTGTTTTGTTTTTCTCAATTATGTCATTACATTTATAATTTTGTTGCAATGTCAACCAACTGACCGGTTATCATCAATCTATTACGTTACCAAATAAATTATATGACAATATTGTAATGTGGAAGCCACATCGGATATCATATGGTAGGATTGGGTTTCAAGTATAGGATTTGCATCGAACCCAATTTCACATACCTACTTCTTTTCTTCTCCTCTTCTCGTCAGAGTATTTCTTCACAAATGGTGTCTGAAAACCCTTGGATTTAGATTACTTTTCAGGAAAAATGTATTTTGTTTTTTCTCTTCTATTAAAGCATGGAAGAAACTTTAACTTGTTAATTTGATGATTTTTGTTGGGTAACCGGTTTCTAGAAAAAGAAAAAACTAATTTCAAGAAAACCCTTGTACTTTGGCCACTTTTATGAAAAAAGCCATTTTTTCATTTTATATTACAACCATGCAAGATAAAAAGCTAATGCCAAAAGACTCTTATACTTTGACTTGGTAATTTAAGCATTTGTAGTATACATATGCCATATACATTATAGCATAAATATACATATACATGATATATGATACATGATACATTAAATAGATATGCATATACATGATACTTAAAGACGTATAATCTTGTATATAAATGTAGATTATATATGTATGCTAGCAACCTAACAAACATACATATGTATGCTAGCATACATATATAATATACATATGTATGATAGAATGTATATTTATATATGTATCATGTATATGTGTATCTATTAATGTATCATGTATCACGTATATGTATATTTTTAGGTCGATTTAGTGGTTCAAACTCACTTAAAGGTCAGCGAAAATGGTGTACTCACCCTTTTACGTGATACTTTTTTTATTATAACGTTTGATGTTTAATTCTCCTTAGAGTATTTTTTTTTCACAAATGGCGTCTAAAGGTCAATCTAGTGGTTCAAACTCACTTAAAAGTTAGTGAAAAGATGTACTCACCTTTTCAGGAGATGTCATTGTGATTTAGAAACTCGATTTGTACAACAAGTAAATGAAGACCTCTATAAGGTCGATCTAGAAGATGTTTAGTGAGTTTGAACCACTAAATCGACCTTTTATGGGTATTTGTTTATTTGTTGTACAAATTGAACTTCTAAATCACAATAAAATATCTTGAAAGGATGACTATGCCCTTTTCACTGACTTGTAAGTGAGTTTGAACCATTAGACCGACATTCGAACGTCATTTGTGAAGAAATACTCTGACGAGAATAGGAAAAGTAGAGAAGTAGATATGTAAAATTGGGTTCGGTGCAAAGCGGTCATTTAGTTGATATTGCAACAAAATTGTAAATATGGTGACATAACTCAGAAAAAAAAATTGGTGTCCAAATTGAAATTTTGAGACAATATAGTGACTTTATTGCAATTTGGGAAAAATGATAATCAAGAGAACATGAATAACCAGTTATTTGGTTGATATTGCAACAAAAATGTAAATATAGTGACATAATTGAGAAAAAAATCGGTATCAAAATCAAAATTTTATAATAATATAATGACTTTCTTACGATTTACCTTTTGACTAACATAATAAACCTTGGACGAACTAAAATGGCACATGACTTCATAAATTTAGACGACTAAATGACTATTATTAGAGATCACATTGATCGAATAGCTAACGATCTATGCTAACGTGGATTTCTCTCTCATCTTGTAAAACTCGTATGATACTCACAAAATACTTGTATATAAAAATACTAAAAAAAAATGGGTTGAAAAGAGAAAAACAAAAAGTGAAAGGTGCAGATTGCAATTAGCCCAATTTTACAAAGGGATATATACACTAAAGTTTCAATATTTTCATCGATTTGACAAGAAAGTCCTAAATTTTATTTTTTGACAGTAAAGTCCAAATTACCGGCAGTTTTTGACACTTTTACCCTTTTTTCCCGGTTAGCCGGTAATTAGGACTTTTTTGTCAAATCGTTGAAAATATTAGGACTTTAGTGTATATCTCATTTTTTTGTCAGAAATTTAATGGTATGATACTCTTTAAGCATAAGAGTTATTAAAATCTTCTCTAGTTAGCCAGATCCTATTGAAATCCTTAACATTTGCTTCTTGTTAAATCGTTTTTTTTAATCTCAACAAACCGACATTGAAAAAAATGAAGATAATCAAGAAAGAAAGAAATAACCAGGGTTGTGTTGGCTTTTTGCAGACCCAAAAATGGAGAAATAAGAAACCGAAAAAAGCGAAATTCCCCTGGCTTTATTCAAACACAAACAACACATGCCTAGTCAAAAGGGTGTGAATGTGGAGAAGGGAAAGAAGGGCAATTTCGTTTTTTTCGATTTCCTATTTCTCCACTTTTGGGACTACAAAAAGCCAACACAACCCTGGTTCTTTCTTTCTTGATTATCTCAATTTTTTTCAATGTCGGTTTGTTGAGGTTAAAAAAACGATTTAACAAGAAGCAAACGTTAAGGATTTCAATAGAATCTAGCTGATTAGAGAAGGTTTCAATAACTCTTATGCTTAAAGAGTATCATACCATTAAATTTCTAACCAAAAAAAAATTATATATACACTAAAGTCCAAATATTTTTAACGATTTGACAAGAAAGTCCTAAACTTTATTTTTTTGACAGTAAAGTCCTAATTGACGATTTGACAAGAAATTCCTAAACTTTATTTTTTTGACAAAAAAGTCATAATTACCGGCTAACCGGGAAAAAAGGATAAAAGTGTCAAAAACTGCCGATAATTTGGATTTTACTGTCAAAAAAATAAAATATGAGACTTTCTTGTCAAATCTATGAAAATATTATATCCCTTTTACAAACAGTAAAATACTAGGGATTTTTCAAATTCCTTTTGACAAAACCGATTGGAATCTTGTTTTTGAATAAACTGTCGGTCTGGGTTTTCATTCAAATTGTTTTCCCATAGTTTATGCAAACGAAGAATTAGGAGTAGAAGATCTCACATTGTTTTTTCCCCAATCTTCTGCATTTCTGTTAAATTAGGGTTGTATTGCGAGTAAACCCTAACCCAAAAAAAGCTAGAAGTTAGAAAGTAAACGAGATGAAGAGAGTGTTTGGTGTTAAGAAAGACAAAGAACCTCCTCCTTCCCTCAACGAAGCATCGGATCGGGTATTGTTTCTCTTATTCCATGTATTGTATTTGCCGGACATGTTTAATTTGGTTTCTATAGTTGTATCACATCATTTTCATGTGTATCCGTTTTCGCTTTTTTGTACTGTATTGTGATTATGTTTACAATTGTGGATTGATACTTCATTTTGGTTGTCAATGTATTACTGAAAGAGGCTTGAGAGTTTACTTCCTAGAACCTGTTGATTATGCTGTTCATTGTGATTTAATTGAGCTATTGAGGCTATGCATATCTGTTTCTTAAGCTACTGTGAAAGTTTGTGATGTAGAACGTATCTAAGAAAAACATTGAACTATTGTGGATTTTCATTTATACATGAGTTAGGGCATTTTGAGGCATCCCTCCATAGATAACCTAAGGCATCACATAATCAAACATGAGCATGAATATAAATATGAACATGAATATGTTAGTTGGATAAGCATACGTCATTCCTTTAAGTTAATATTGCATTTTTAATTGGATTGGATGGATTATATATGATGGACATGGAGCTGTTTTAAGGTTGTCTTAACTCCTGCTGATTAAGATTAAGTGTATTTGTATGTAGCTCTTAATCTTGTATTTGAATATCCTTTAGATCTATACTATTTTTTTCTGTTCCAAGTTCTAACTATATACAAATAGAAGCCTGATTATGTTTTTAGTGCTTATTTAGATCAATAAAAGAGGTGAGTCAGTGGATGAGAAAATCAAGCAACTTGATGGTGAACTTGCTCGATATAAAGAGCAGATCAAAAGAACTCGTCCGGGTCCCACTCAAGAAGCTGTAAAAGCTCGTGCAATGAGAATTCTTAAGCAAAAACGAATGTAGGTGTCACACCTCATATCATATAACATGATGAACATCATTTTTATATAAGTCACTTACTTCATTTTTATTTATTTTTGTTAGGTATGAAGGGCAACGTGACATGCTATACAACCAAACTTTTAATCTAGATCAAGTCGCATTTGCTTCTGAGGGTATCAAAGATGCTCAACAAACAGTATGTTCCACAAAAATCTAAATTAATCGTTATTCATACACTTGGCTTTTGTTTGATTTTAATTTTACCATGGATAAATAAATATAAAACATTATCCGTGTGAAATATTGTAGCTCTTGTGAATTGTGATAGATATAAATTACTTTTGTTGTTAGCGCCGTGTTGGAAATAGTTCAAAGCATGCAGGGTGGAGCTTTTTCTGTCCTCTGGTTGGAAGTTGCTGCCTACCTCCGTGAGGTAGTGGATTGATTATTCTAGGGAACGATTTTTCCTGAATAATATGTCATATCATATCATATCATATGTGTGTGAATTGTGAAAACATAAACATATGCCTTAAAAGCCTACATATTTTGGTTTTATGAATCAAATATCCTTGTTTCAGTTACTGATTGATTCGTATTATCCAGATGTCGGCTTTGAAATCAGCAAACAAAGAGTTGAAAGGAATGATGAAGACTGTAAAGATTCAGGACTTTGATGTTAGTATACTATACTGTTTTGAAATTATCTTATTTATTAGAATTAGAGTTAGATAATATATATCTAAATGGTGTATTCTTTTAAAGAACTTGCAAGATGACATGATGGAGTTGATGGATGTTAGCAATGAAATACAAGAGTCTCTTGGTAGAAGCTATAGCGTGCCTGATGACATTGATGAAGAAGATCTCATGGGTGGTAAGTCTAATTATTATCACTGTCAACTGTCTACTGTCTATTGTCTACTGTTGACTACTTTGAGAATATACGAGTTAAATTAAATGCTTGCAATTCAGAACTTGATGCATTGGAGGCAGACATGGGGCTGGAAACAGATGGTGAAGGTGTACCTTCATATCTTCAACCTGACAATGAATCCGATTTTAATGAAGAGCTCAACTTGCCTTCAGCTCCCTCTGGGCATGCAATAACATCCCGCATTGTTAAGGTTAGTATTTTTTTTTACCAATGTTTTTTTAAGTATGCAAATTAAGGTCATTTTTGTCATTTTATCTAATGTTTTACAGGCCGAGGATGAATTTGGTTTGCCTCAAGTCCCGCGTGCATCTTTACGTGGTTAGATGATATGGTGCAAAAACCATCATGATGATTACTTGATGTATTTGCATGACTTTTAAACTATTGCTTGTATTCTTTTTAGTTGATTTAAGTTTTTGAATTTTTTACCTATTAGATCCCATGTTAAAACTACACATATAGGTAGATTTAACTATTTGACTGGCCTACAGTTGATTAAAATAACTAGATGTGACAAAATACATAGGTCGAAACAGATTGGGATTGAGGTGTTACAACAAGAAACATTTGGCTAAATTGTTTTTCAACTTGCCCTCTTGTTCAAAATAAAGTATTAGATTTTCGTCTATGTTCCAAGTAGAATGACTTTTGTTTTACAATGACCATAAAGAAAACTTTACAATGACCACAAGTAATAACCAAACTTGTAATTAGAAAAACTTTTGGGACCAAAAATACAGAAATCAGCTGTACTTGAAAACCAAAAATATAGTTTACTCTTTGTAATATTAAAGAACGATCCGTTGAACTCATAAAAAAATTAACAAGCACAAATTTTAAGGTACAACTATTAATCAAAAAACCCTTTCTAATAATGTAAAACTGAAATAACATGCAGAACGAATTGAATTTGACCATACATTCAAAAGTAGATAAATCTGACCACACAACACCTTGTCTTGTTCACAAAACGTGTGTTTGTGTGTGTATATATGTATGTCATTGCATAACTTATCTTACATTCAAAATGAAACACAATATAAGTCCTTGATAATAAATATATATTCTTCTTGGGAAAAAAACTAGTTATAAGTCGAATTCCCAACAAAATGGATCTCACAAGACCTTGAAGCCCTTGGAAACTTCAACAACTGCGCACACAACCTCATTTCTCCCTTGGGGTGCAAGCTTTCAGAAGTGATTATTGTTAGTGTCTTCAAAACCTCCGAGTTCCCCAACATGTATTCTAGGAATTGTAAATCCCACTTCCGTCCCTCGCATCTTTTAAATTTCAAGGTTGTAAGTTTTGAAAGCATACAAGTGGGAATTTGTTGAGGCTCAATCCAACAAAATTCTTCAGGCTATTGAGAAGAACCAAATGTTATGTTATGTGTGGAAAAGAAGGTAGAAAGCATAGAATAAAACATGTGATCAAAGGTTCGAAACAACGCAATTACCTCATCGATACATAAATGCTCCAACTCACAAGAGTTTTCAAGAACATGAAACATTGACAACCATCGAGAACATGAACCCTTCAACTCCAATCGCTTCAAATTGAGAAACTTGGGCAGAGGTGAATTCAATGGAATTGGTAGCTTCAACAAAAGACATGGTGTTGAATGGATGAAAACGACAATTCTTTGAAGTGTAAGGATCATAACAAAAAAATAAATCAAAAGTTGAACATGGCATGCTCCTAATTGAAAGGAAACTTACATCGATATTTGAAGTGGACCATGAAAGTGATTTGGCTTCACTTATTCCTTTTAGAAGCTCACTCATCAAATGACTAAATCTTATTTCATAAAAAGAAAAAGTTGCCTCAACTAGATTTGACAAATCTTTCATCACAAATAGTGAACACAAGACCCCACCAACAAGGAAGTATTCAAGATTAGGGACATTCAAAACAACTTTGTTGATAACTGATAAGCATTTGCGTGTTCTTAGTTCCAACCGCTTCAAAGTAGGAATATTGAAATTGTATTCTTCTTCATCATCGCGCCATGCTACTTCTAAAAATAAACTTTCAAGTGTCGGGGAGCCATTGATGAGTATAAATGCATTGGTACAAGGTTTGCCATTAACACTGATTTCAAGGGTTTTTAGACAAGGAAGTATGACCGGAGATGGAACGTTAAAAACATCAGGATCATTACAATTCACAATTAATCTTAATTTTGTGAGTCTCTTGCAAGTGAACAATCTTAGAGGCAACTCAAGAAGCTTGACTTGTATGTCAATCTCACGAACATTTAACCTAATTGCTTCATTAATCCACTTTGACACGTTTGACTTTCGAACCCAATTGTCAGAAAAGTGTAAGCGGAATACTTCAATGTGGGATGTTTTGTAAAGCTCCAATACCGAGTCTACAAATTTTGATAAGGGATCTCTATCAAGTATGTAGGGATAATCATTGAAGGCAAGCTTCTTGAGCAACATCCAAGTGTATCTCCATTTTTTTGATAAAATGCTAGTTTGCACTGCTAATCTTATAGGAATGAGAGAGAGTATATGTGAAATAATCTCTTCAGGCAAGCAAGTAAGCCTATCTACATTTTCACTTATGGAACTCATCTTCTTCAGACCACCTAATAATTCAAACAAACAAACTTCAGAATCCTCTCAAGACCTATTTTGTTACATTTATATCAAATTTAGCACTTTCCAGATACAGATTTCACAGCAAATCCATCAATCCAGGGCTGTCATAAAGGTCTTTTAATTAGGATCCAAATATTTGTTATATAGTGGCGCAGTATCTTATTCACTCAAGAAAATCTATTTTATTTAAAACTGTAGAAAATTCAGCTGTTTAATAGCAAACCAACACTTCGATTCAACGTAAACTAGGGTTAAGTTGGATGATGCAAACCTGATTAATGGATGATTTTCACCTGCAATTGAAAAATTCGGATTTGAAAGTATATCTGCAAATATCGATTGATGTAAGGAGTTGGGATCTTTTTACGTGAAATTGGAAGTAATTAGCTTAGGAATCCAATGATTATTTGGAAGTTCCAAAGCTCAAAAAGGCCTGATTCAAAAACGGACAGAAAGAAGCAAACAAAGGTTATTTCATAAAAAGAAAAAGTTGCCTTAACTTTTTATATTTTTTTAAGTATTTTTTTTCAAGCATTTTAATTAGAGACTTTTAATTATTGATCATAGCTTCTTGTCAAACTAAGAGCATCTTATAATTTATTTGTGGGATAACGACGTAACGAACTTTTAATTTTATTTATATTTAGTCACTGAATTTTTTTTGCTTGATTTATCCTTGAATTATTTAAAATTATTAACAATTTACTCTTATGACCGATTACAACCGGTCATAAGGGTAAAATATGAACAATTTCAAATAATTCATAATGGTGAAATGTGAAACCGATCATAAGGGTAAAGTGTAAACAATTTCAAATAGTTCAAAGATAAATTAAGCACAAAAAAGCTTTAGTTACTAAATATGAATAAAGTTGAAAGTTTGTTACCATTTCAAGTTATTAGCTATTTTTGTAATCATTTCTTAGTTTATTTTGCCTATTGGTAGCAATTACTTAAATTAATAACTTTGATTTCAATCACTGTGTTTGTTTATGTTATGTTTGCATCATTGAGTATTTTGTAATTTGGAGGCATCCGTTTTTAGAGAAACCTTCTGATGAGGGCAGAAGGATAATCATTTAGATTTCCTTTCTGGTTGTTCTATCTTTATTCCATTAGGTAGTCAAAAGCTTTTGGATCTATATATCTCATATTTTAGCTTCATTATCTATTATTGCATTTTGGTTTCAATCAAGTTAGTTTCTATTGCAAATAAAATGACCATTCACTTTGAACATACAAAAAACCAATTACAATAATCTCAAATAATAAATAAACTTGTAATTAGAAAACTTTTTGAGACAAAAAATGCAGAAATCAGCAATACTTGAATCCAGAATTATAATTTACTTTTTGAAGTTTTAAAGAACAATCCATCGAACTCCTAAAATGTCAACCAACACATAGTTTAAAGTTTAACTATCAATCAAAAATCCTTTCTAATAATGTAAAATTGAAATAACATGCGGAACATTTCCATAGATATCTTGTAACTATCAAAAAAATGTATATATACACTTGAATGTCATTGCATAACTTATCTCCCACGCAAAATGAAACATACACAATATAAGTCATTGCATAATACATATATACATACATTCTTCTTAGGACAAAAAACTAGTTACATGTAGAATGAGACCAATTCCCAACAAAATGAATCTCGCAAGACCTTGAAGCCCTAGGAAACTTTAACAACTGTGCACACAACCACATTTCTTTTTTCGGGGTCAAGCTTACAGAAGTGATGATTGTTAGTGTCTTCAAAACCTCAGAATTCCCCAAAATGTATTCTAGGAATTGTAAATCCCACTTCCTCCCCTTGCATTTTTTTAATTTCAAGGTTGTAAGTTTTGAAAGCATACAAGTGGGAATTGGTTGTGGCTCAATCCAACAAGATTCTTCAGGCTATTGAGAAGAACCAAATGTTATGTTATATGTGGGAAAAGAAGTTAGGAAGCATAGAATAAAACATGATAGAGTTGGAAACAACACGATTACCTCATCGATAGATAAATGTTCCAACTCAGAAGAGTTTTCAAGAACATGAAACATTGACAACCATCGAGAACATGAACCCTTCAACTCCATGTGTTTCAAATTAGGAAACTTAGGCAGAGGTGAATTCAATGGTACCTTCAACAAAAGACATGGTGTTCAATGGATGAAAACAAGAATCCTTTCAAGTGTACGAAGTTGTTATTTTTTTCTATTATGTTATCAAGTTATGTACGAGTAAAGTGGTTGAAAGATTAATGATGTATGTGTGGATAAAATTGCGTACATAATATATACTTTTTTATTTTTTATTTTTAGACCGAATAAATGGTATGAATGAGACCAAATTATCAGTTTGCCATTACATTTCAGTAAACAACTTACACAATATTCATCAATTTTAACCTAAGAGGAATTTGGAGAAAAAAAATAATACGAGAAAATATGTAAAGGATTGTTGTCTTAATACATTAAGCCAATTTCTTTTCACGTAACTCATTAAGTAATTATGTCCAAATTAAGTAAAAAAGAAACAACCATGTCAAGTAACAGTAACCAAGTATCTTAATTTTTCTACTCTAGGCCACTAAAAGTTTAATACTCCCTCCGTCCCAAAATTATTGTCCACAGACAAAAAAACACACAGATTAAGGAAACATTAATTACCATTATCTTTATTCAATAAAATGACAGTTTTGTCCTTACTTTACATTTAATGCTCCATTGAATGCAAAGTAATTCAAGGGATTTGGCTACAATTCTTTGACTTTAAGCCTAATTAAAAGGTGTGACGAAAGAAGAGAGTAATACATTGAAGTTTTTGAAAGAAACTTACATCAACTGTTGATGTGGACCATGAAAGTGAGTTAGCTCCACTCATTCCGTTTAGAAGATCAGTGTCACGAGTCGGTGTTCTAGAATCTTCCAGACCGATCAAGAAGATGGTAGAACAAGTAATAATCTACCATAAGTCCCTAGAACAACCTAGAAATCTCTAGGATGCAAAAGTATAGAATAGAATTGTGTAGAACTTTGTATATAGATAAGGATCTTGTAAGAACGATCTAGAATACTCAGGAATATACGAAATCTAGAAACTTCCCTTTGAGGAGGTGTAGGATGCCTATAAATAGGGGGAGGACTCATTTGTCCAAACCATCGAAGAAGTTCTCTTGTAAGAAGTTAAGTTGTATAAAGAAGCTCTTTTCTTAGAAGTGTTTATTGTCGTTTCTCTTGCTTCCTTTAATCGTTAATACATCGAAGCCATCAAAGTTAGCCTGACTTAGTCGGAGAAAACACTAAGTGGCACACGGTGATTGAAGCATCCCGTGACACGTGGTATCAGAGATAGAGTTCGTACAAGCAAGAGATCATGGCTACGGAAGGAGGAAGTAGTGAAGTCGCAAACGTGCCTCCTGTCGTCGAGGAGAAATGAAGAAAGTCCAGGAAGAGGGACCAATCGATAGATGCCTTGGCAAGCTTAGAGAACAAGCTTACAAGGACAGAGATTAACGTCGGTGAGATCCTTGAATGGAAGGATACCGTCGATCAGTTCGTTGCCGAGATAAGTGACACGAGCGATGGATTGAAGGAGACCATCGGTGTCATCAAGGGAGAAGTCCTTGGACTTATTAACACCCTGTGGAATGAGTTCCGTGAGAAGGTAGCTACTCTAGAAGCCGAAGTAAATTTGTGCAAAGCCGCAATTGCTGGAGGAGCAAGTACAAAGATGACGCCACATGCCGATGCACCTAAACCCCTGAAGTACGGAGGTAAGCGTGACCCTAAACTTCTTGAAGATTTTTTCTGGTCCGTAGAATGTTATTTCAATGCAATCGGGGTAAAGGATGATAAGCCTAAAATAGACACGGCCGTCCTATACCTATGTGAGAACGCCGCCCTATGGTGGAGGCGAAAGCATAACGACATAGAAAAAGGGCTATACACCATAGAGACCTGGGATGAGTTCAAAAGGCAACTCAAGAAGCAGTTTTGTCCCCATAACGTTGAAGATGTAGCAATGAAGAAGCTTCGGGGACTGAAACACATTGGGTCGATTAAAGATTATGTGGCAGAATTTACTGCTTTAATGCTTGAGTTGCCTGAATTACAAGAAAAAGACAAGTTATTTTATTTCCAAGATGGACTACAATCTTGGGCTTATAACGAGCTTAAGCGAAGGAATGTCCAAGACGTTGACGAAGCTATTGCTGTAGCGGAAGACCTTATGGACTTCCGAAGAGATGCACCGATTAGGAGGACTAGTGGGGGAGATAAAGCTGCACCAAGGTCGTCACCAAGGGACGATAGACCCGCTGTCAAACCCTCAACTTTCAAAGGAAAGGCGATCGAAGGAGGGACTCGTAAGGAGGTGGAGTGTTATTTATGTGACGGTCCCCATCTAATAAGAGATTGTCCCAAGAAGAAAAGTTTCAACGACATGGTCTTTGAAGATGAAAATGAAGAAGGGGACGAACATCAACTAAGCTCGATGCGTCTCCTCAATTCGGTGGCTAAGGAAGAGACAAAACCAAAGAAGGGAGGAGGTCTCATGTTCGTGAAGACTAAAATAAATGGAGAGACAACTAAAGCCCTAGTCGATACAGGTGCGTCTCATAACTTTCTTGCTGAAAATGAAGCCAAGAAAATGAATATTCAATACACCAAGGAGATAGGTTGGCTGAAAGCAGTAAATTCCCCATCCGAACCCATCCTTGGTGTCGCCCACAATGTGCCCATCGAGATAGGAGGATGGACAGGAATCATAGACTTAACGGTAGTCCCTATGGATGATTATTGCATGGTGCTTGGGATGGAATTCCTAGACGAAGCCCACCCTTTTTCATTTGAGGATCAAACCATGCGCCTCACCAAGGGATCCTCGATTCACATCGTTCCCTTAGAAAGAAGCAAGGCGAATTCCCGTATCATATCAGCCATGCAACTTAGCAAAGGCCTTCAGAGGGGCGAGGTGACATTCCTAGCCACATTAAAAGAAGAAGTCGATTTGCCGGAGATGGAAGTACCGAACGAAATCAAGAAGGTACTTGAGGAATTTAAAGAGGTAATGCCACCAGAACTACCCAAGAAACTACCACCACGAAGAGAGGTAGATCATGAGATAGAATTAGAACCAAGAGCAAGACCACCAGCATTGGGGCCTTACCGAATGGCACCACCGAAATTAGAAGAGCTAAGAAAACAGTTGAAGGAGTTACTAGACGCTGGCTTCATCAGACCTTCCAAAGCTCCGTTTGGCGCCCCAGTATTGTTCCAAAGGAAACATGACGGTAGTCTAAGAATGTGTATTGACTATCGAGCCTTGAATAAGGTAACCGTGATGAACAAGTACCCCATCCCCTTAGTAGCCGATCTCTTCGATCGGCTTACAAATGCTCGATGGTTCACAAAGTTAGATCTGCGATCGGGGTATTGGCAAGTTCGCATAGCAACAGGAGACGAGCCAAAGACAACATGTGTGACCACGTATGGATCATTTGAGTTCTTGGTCATGCCCTTTGGACTCACAAACGCACCGGCCACATTTTGCACCCTCATGAACAAAATCTTCCACCCGTTCTTGGATAAGTTCGTAGTAGTGTATCTAGACGACATCGTAGTCTACTCAGAAACGTTGGAGGAACACGTGGAGCATCTAAGATTGGTTTTTCAGTCATTAAAGGAAAACCAATTGTATGTGAAGATGGAGAAATGCACTTTTGCCCAACCCGACGTAACATTCCTTGGGCACAAGATTAAGGACGGGAAGATCTACATGGATGAAAGCAAAATAAAAGCAATTTCAGAGTGGGAACCACCTAAGAACGTGTCTGAACTACGATCGTTCCTAGGTCTGGTTAATTATTATCGAAGATTCATATCAGAATACTCGGCAAGGTCAGCTCCACTAATTGATCTACTTAAAAAGAAGGTCGCATGGGAGTGGACGGACAAGTGTCAAGAAACGTTTGAGGAGCTGAAGAAGGCCGTCATGAAAGAACCAATTCTAGCATTACCCAATTACTCGAAGCCGTTCCAGGTACAAACTGATGCCTCAGACTTTGCTATAGGCGGTGTTTTGTTACAAGAAGATCATCCGGTGGCGTACGAAAGTCGGAAACTTAATGAGACCAAGCGAAGGTATCCGATACATGATAAGGAGATGACAACGATTATACATTGCCTTTGAGTGTGGAGACATTATTTACTCGGGAATCGGTTTGTAATTCAAACTGACAATGTCGCTACAAGCTACTTTCAAAATCAGAAAAAGCTAAGTCCCACGCAAGCCCGTTGGCAATATTTCTTGGTTGAGTTTGATTATGTCATGGAGTATAAGCCAGGGAAGGCAAATGTCATCGCCGATGCTCTAAGTCGGAAAGTGGAATTGGCAACCATCTCTCGGGTAACCTACTCCTTTACTGATCGCATCAAAGAAGGAATAAGCCATGACCCGTTAACAAAAAGCTTAATGGAGATGGCTAAAGAAGGGAAGAGCCGAAAATTTTGGGTCGAAGATGGACTATTACTCACTGTCGGTAATCGAATGTATGTTCCGAAATGGGACAACTTAAGGAGAGAAGTCCTAAAAGAATGCCACGATTCAAAATGGGCAGGGCATCCTGGAACACACCGAACCATGGCAATTGTAGAAAAGACTTACTACTGGCCAAGGATGAGGAATGATGTAGACGCCTATGTTCGGACATGTCTCGTATGCCAACAAGACAAGGTGGAACAGTCCAAGACAACAGGGTTGTTAGAACCATTGCCGATCGCGGAGCACCCTTGGGAAAGTATAACTTTGGATTTCATCTCGGCCTTACCTACATCTGAAGGTTGTGGTTCCATCATGGTGGTCGTAGACCGTTTCTCCAAATACGGGACGTTCATTCCCGCTCCCAGAGATTGCACAGCTGAGGAAGCTGGTCGGTTATTCTTCAAACATGTGGCAAAGTAATGGGGACTCCCTCAGAGCATCATAAGTGATAGAGACCCTCGGTTTACTGGAAAATTTTGGAGGGAATTATTTAAGCTCATGGGTTCCGAGCTCCACTTTTCGACCAGTTTTCATCTGCAAACTGATGGACAAA